TGCGAAAGTGATTTACTGAAAGGAGGAGGCATATTTATACCCGATAGGGACAAATATTGATCGTTAGATCATCAAAGGATCCAACGGCCTTAAAGGAGCACGGAATTCGAAGAGTCGACGATTGAGATGACGCGTATCATCTCAGGGTTTTTGAAATTTGAAATGGGAAAAATTTGTCAGAATGTCAGAACTTATCCAGAGAAGTAATCATATGGGACGGAAAGTTATCCTGGGCAAATGACGAGACAAGTTGACTACATGACGAGTAAAAGAGGGAAATACAATTCAAATCGATTGATCCGGCGCTCAAAACACCAAATTTACTCTTAAGCATTCGACTGCTTAGAGTAATTTTTGGGGGGGACTAGATGATATTGCCATATAGAGATATACCCGTTTAAAGGCTCTCTACTCAACCGGATAGTTGTTCAGACTGCTCACACGTCGATATATTCTCGACTCTCCATAAAATGACTGCGAGAAAGGGCTGATCCCTTGCAAGTCGACTCGTTGAGGTTGAATTCTTACAGGTCGATTCCTAGAAATCGACTTGGTACAGTCGACTCCCCGATGGTTGACATCTATTCGAGAACAACAAGAGCGTAGCTTCCGAATAGCCAAAAGATCCCGAAGTCGACTTCTTCGTACTCGAGGTTGACTCCCCGCACCTCGAGACGTGAAACATACTGACGACTCAATACACTTGTGACATTTCTGGGAGCCCCTTGTCCTTCAATGGATAAGAACGAATCTTGCCATGACTCAGCAAGGAGGGGAGACGAATCGACCGGGGCAATTTAGACCTTTCAGGTCAACCGACCAGGGCATTTCGGGTACTTCAAGTAAGTGTTCACTCCTATATAAAGGAGGTGAGGTAACCCTAAACCCTAACTTCCATTCATTCTACACTCTCCTCCCTAGTTGTTGCTGCTCTCTGAGAGCAGCCTCTTTTCATCTCTTCCACATACTGACTTGAGCGTCGGAGGCTCTACACCGGAAACACTTCCGACGTTGAGTTCTTGCAGGTGTTCTCGCGGTCTAAAAACGGTTCGAAGGCGATTCAAGCAGATCTGAGCTCAAAACCACCGGTTCTCTTCAGATCCAGAAGTAGACCCATCAGGTGGGGTGCACGGTGAAGAACGATTTGGGGAATTTGGGGCTGGGAAAATTAAATAACTTTAAGGGCCTGATTGCAATATAGTGAAATCTGATTATTATTTAATTTTGGTACATGTGCCAAATATAATTTATAGAAAAATTAAAAAATATATATTAATGATAAATAAATTTATAATGTATTGTGTATATTCACATTAATATCATGAAATGTGAGTGTATGACGGAATGCACATTAATAACCCATACGTGCACATTAATGATTGTCGGACTGCACCATATGGCACCGAAACAGAAATAAGTAAATTGTTCCGTTCGAATTTGCATAATAAATATATGTTTACTTTTAAAATTTTGGTTTCGACTTTACAATTAAAAAAAAAAACAAAATAACAAAACGATCAAACTATATAAAAAAATTTATTTTTATATATATATTTTTAGATATATTGTTATATTCAGTCAAATACAATGATAAAAAAAAATAGTAACATACGAAATAATTTTATAATGAATATTAAACAATTTCAGGTATTTAGGGTAAATCAATTAAATTCTCAAATAGACCGATTAACTTATCACGTTTTAGTTTCTAGTTTTTGTTGGAATAAATAGTTAAAAATGTGTATCTTTTATTTTTTAACAAAAAAATAATATATAAAAAATATATAAAAAATATTAAAACAATTAATTAATATACTTTTATAATAACAAGAGTAACAAAATATTTCAAATATTAGGTTAATCCGATGTACACTTAAGTCTACTAAATCTAGTTTATAAAAACACATAATTTATATGTGATCATATAAAGTATTGCACTTTCTATAGCGACACATTGCACTCTACAAAGCAACATATTGCACTTTATAAAACAACAATCTGCACTTTATCACCACATTTTGCAATTAAAGTCAATAAATCACGCCAAAATACCACACAACATAAGTCTAAAAAATGGGAATACATAATATTTTAACATCAATCACATTATTAGTCCACAAAAAAAAGAAAAAAAAATGCTAATGTACCAAAGTTACAGTACTGCATTTATATATTAACACGTTGCACTTTATATATCAACACGTTGCACTTTATAAACCAGATCATTGCACTATATCATGACACTCCGCAATTAACGCCGATGTCTCCCACCAAAATTCGATATTTTTTGTTAGACTTTTATATTTTGGTACAAGTTTTAAATTTTGATTATTTGGGTTTGAAGTCAACTTATTTTTTTTTTAAATAATCGAACCAAGCAAACTAAAAAATTTGTGTTCGAAATTATATATTTCGGCTCGATTACATGTTTTTTACTTTTAACATCTCAAATGTAATGTGCATCTATTACACATTTTTTTTATTATTTTTATTGTATATTTAGTGTATTTTTATTAATTATAGATTGACCCATGGGTTAAATTGAAGTTTAATAAAAGTTCAAAAATTGCAATTAAGTCCCTTGAACTTATCAAATTCTCAAAATGGGACTACAAAATATTTTAACAAAAACAAAAAAGAAAAAACATGCTAACGTACCAAAATTACAGTACTGCATTTATATATTAACACGTTGCACTTTATAACTCATATCGTTGTACAATATCACGACACTCCACAATTAACGCCGATGACTCCCATAAAAATTCTATATTTTTTGTTCGAATTTTATATTTCGGTACGAATTTTAAATTTTCATTATTAGGGTTTGAAGTCAACTTTATTTTTTAAAATAATCGAACCAACCAAAATAAAAATTTTGTGTTTGAAATTCTATATTTCGTCTCGATTATATGTTTTTTACTTTTAACATCTCAAATGTAATGTGCATCTATTACACATTTTTTTTATCATTCTTATGGTACATTTAGTGTATTTTTTATTAATTATAGATTGACCCATGGGTTGATTTGAAGTTTAATAAAAGTTCAAAAATTGTAATTAAGTCCCTTGAGCTTATCAAATTTTCAAAATGATGCCCAACTCAAAACCAATCTTCGTTTCCTTTTCTTCCACCCAGCAACCATCACATTCTGCCCCTCCCCGGCCAACCTGTTAACCGTCGCCGGAGAACAGCATCTCGCTGGAAATGGCGGTAACTCAACATGTCGACGGAGCATTTTGTGACTGGGGGCGGCGGCGGGCTAAGGCAGAAGCTGTACGGGTTTTGGCGGCAACGAAACCACCTGAATTTTCCGGCAGGGATTTGGTGGTTCCGAGCAGAGGCCGAGACGGCGGCGCGGCGGGATGGTTGTAGGAGTTTTGGCCGGAATAGTGAGTGGATGCCGGCGTGAAGCTTGGGCGGTTGCGGACGGCGGACGTCTCTGGTGGCCATGACGGACGGCAGCGGCGGTGTTCGGGGCTGGCACATCTATGTGGCAGACGGCGGCGCGGCTGGCTTTGTGTGGCTGATTTGGTCGGATGGTGTACTGCGTGTGTGCGTGCGACTGTACAGAAATGGTGGGTGTGTGTATATGTGTGAGAGATAGAAGGTAGTTGTGTGTGAACGTGTTTAATGTGTTGTTGTGTGTGAACGTCATTTAACATATTTTTGTGATATATAATTATTTAAAATGATTAAATTAACCTTAGTGAGTGCTAAATGACCAAATTATCTTTAATGAGTTTGACATTCATTATTAACTTTGACTTTATAAGTTAATTTATAGTTTATTTGATTAGCTTATAAGCTCCCTGTATTCAAATAAGTTTCTTTAGGTAGCTTTTCAAATAAGCTAGTTGAATTTTTTATTTCAATTAACTTATCAACTAATTTTACCTTATCATATAAGCTAGCTTTTCAGTTATAAGCTCAAAAATTATATATAAGTTATAAACTAGTTTATCAGCTAGTTTTACCAAACATAGTTTAAGTTGTTGAATCCAATGATTTAGGATCATTCTTATTTCTTTCACTATCTATCATTCTCATATGATTCTTCTCTTATATAGAGAATGAGATAAATATTTTACTTCATGTTGAGGTTGATAAATCAAATTATTTTAAATACTAACACAGTTTAAATAAGTCCAACATATCCATATTAATAAATTATAAATTCAACTGCTACCCGTCGAATGAATAAACGAAGTTATGCTATATCATGTCTATAAAAATATTGCAAATTATTTGAACAACATTTCCGCAACTGATTAGTTTTCATACATAAAAATATATTGGAATAAAATAATAGTTTTTTTATTTTTTATTTTTTTATTATTTATAATGGCATAAATAATAATAAAAAATATTGGAATAGAACAATAGTGTATTGCTTTTTGATATTTGATTGTCACATAAAAAAAATAATTGGGGGTTTTTGGATAAGGGTAGATCAACATTTATTTTTACTATTTCGGGGTTGTGGATGAACAAATCAACAATTTTTTTTTAAAGTTTGTTTGTTATGGCAAGAGTTTATGTGAAAATTGTTTTCAAGCATGAAATTTTGATCGGACTACAATCCAATTAATATTTCGCCACGCTTTTTTTTTTAAAAAAAAAAATGTTTTAATTCATTATCAAAAATAGTATGCATTAAATGTTTTGGCAGGAATTTTTATCCATATGTTGTAAATCTTATTCTCTTTTTATATATGTAGATTAGACTGAACCTCATGGCTAGTTTTGAAATTAGTAATTACCATATAGCTCCCTACTCAACCGAGAAAAGATAACAATCAGAAAAATATTATTTTGTTTTTTGATAACAACACACCGGGAGGGTGGGAGTTAAGGCCGAACTCCCAACCTGTATATAAAAAATGCCCTAAATAGGCTGAAAAGTCACAAAACTACAGCTTGATGTCTAAATAAACAATAGTCTAAATGAACGAGAACAAAACGAAAACAAGTAAAAGAAAAAAGCAACAACTGCAAATAATCAACAAAATTTAATCTTGATCCCGAAAGAGTCCAGACGAAGAGTCAACATCACGAGGAAGCAAATGCACCAAATCAGAACAATATTCTTACAGGGAAACATTTTCAAGCAACCTAATGCCCATAGTGAGCATATTAGGAGGCAACTTCAAGCACTACACTAAATCACTAAATGAGTTGGAACGATAGCTTCTACATCACACACTACATTGTAGAATGAATCCATTGAGAAGAGGGTTCATCTGAATCTACGTGGCATCAACAAATTTACATTGTCTGATTCCCTTTCCCCTATCAAATATACAATGGAAGTAGGCATATGATGCACCTACAGATGGTCAAAGTTTAGCAATCTAAGTGGTAAGAGCCCACATGCAAAGTCAGCTATAACCAAGGCAAAGGCAACAGGACAAATGAAACTGAGTAAAATGATGAATGAAGCAGTTGGATATTTTCTCTATGAGATGGGAGGGTTGGAGTCGAAGAACTTCGCCACAGCCTGATAGAGGCTTTTCTCTTTGAAAGGTTTGGACACGTAGCCATCCATGCCACATTTAAGGCACTCGTCCAGAGTGGCATGTATGACATCAGCAGTCATTGCCAGAATAGGCATATGCCGCCACTCTCCAATTCCATCGCTCTTATTATTATTGCCCATCTTTGCTTTGCTCTCCATCTCCCTAATGAGACGAGTTGCCTCAAACCTGGAAGAACCAATACGGAAGACCCAAGTCAAGTCGTGAGGGAATGAATAATAATATGGCAAAATTGTAATTTTAGTCCTGTTGGTTTGATCCAGTGACGTTTTTAGTCTTAAACAATTAAACATTTTGCTATTTGGTCCCATAATTTTAAAATTAAATGCAATTTCAATCCCAAATGACTGAAATTGCAGCAAAATACTATTAGATCAAAAGACAAAAAATTGAACTAAAAATGTTATGGAGTTAAACCAGCAGGACTAAAAATGCAATTTTGCCTAATAATATGTTCATATCACAATAAGCAAAACTACATACCCGTCCATCTCAGGCATCTGAATATCCATGAAGCATGCATCGAAATCGTGTGGTATCTGGAGGCAGGCGAGGGCCTCATGCCCACTCCCAACACATCTCACCTCAGCCCCAAACTTGTTGAGAGCCCCAGCTGCCACTCTTCGGTTCACCACATTGTCATCCACCACCAAAATCTTCTTGCCCCTCAGCAGACCCTTGGCTTTGGCTTTGGCTATGGCTCCATTTCTGGGGGATGAGTTTTGGATTTTATGGCCTATACCGAGTACCTGCTGCAGACACGCGGCCACCATGCTCGACCGAAGAGGTTTCATGATAACTGTGTCAGCAAACCCAGCAGTCTTAGACCGGTTAGACTCAGTAGGCGTGATGTTGGTTGCAAGGAGGATCATTTTCGGCAGTTTGCAATTGAACCCGTTTTGTCTTGATGATAGCTGCATGGGCCCGTCTTCTTCCTCGGAGGAAATCCATGCGTCCTTTTCTACTATGAACATGTCCGGCACCTTCTCGTCGCTATTGTCAATAAAACAAATATNAAAAAAAAAAAAAAAGAAATCAGAATACTAGATAAGCATGTAACATAGCTTCTCTGGTATAAAATACAAAATAGAAATGCATGAGAAAGAAGAGTACATTTATCACAACCAACTCAATAAATACATAGGTTTGTTTTCTGGACCTCAGCATATGCCTGAAATACAGTGTTCTAGAAGCCGCTAGGCACCAGCTAGCCTAGAAATCAAGATTAAGTACCTTATTTTTTATTTATTTTCACCACATACAAAATAAAACTATTTCAACTTGTAATAAATCAATACACTTAAGTCCAAATAATGGTATTAACATATTATAAAGAAAAAATGATTAACAAATTAATGTAATTAGTATTTAAAAAAAATTAAAAAAAAAAATTGAAAATTTTCCGCCGAGCCCGTCTAAGCCCGCCTAGCTGCCTGACCCATTTTTTCAGCCGATTTATCAAAATCAGAGGCGGCCGGGAAGCGCCTAGCGCCTAGGCCGATTTTTAGTACAGTGATGATTTTGAGTACAGTGCTAATATACAACTTGAGAGGAAGGGTGTCCTGTAAGGACTGAATTCATGGCCCACTTCTGTCTCAAGTCAATAAAAATAAGCTCACCAATCAAAAAACTGGCAACTGTCACCAATTTTTTCATGCAACAAACTGAATTGGACTGCAGGAAAGGATTTAGCACAAAAAGAACAATTCACCCAAGGAAGGAAATAAAAACTATATATTTACTTAAAAAACTAATAAAAAAAATTAAAAAATACTTACTTAAGGGACCCGTGCTTCGCATAAAAAGCAAGGCCAATCCTGATGCTACCAACAGCCTCCGACTGAATCCCGAGCCTCCTTAAGTGGTACATAGTAACAGCTGCCCTAACCGGCTTCCCATCAATCACAACAGCTCTCAGACCCTTCAACGCAACATTGACTTCATCCGAAATCGACTTACTCAAACAAATAACTTCACTTCTCTCACTCCTCTGGAACTCCACCGTGAACGAGAAGGTGCTTCCAACTTGAGGACGGCTATTGAAGCTCATCTGCCCACCCATCAGCTCCACCAAGCACTTGCTAATGCTCAAGCCAATGCCAGTGCCCCCATAGTTTCTAGAAGTCGAGCTGTCCGCTTGCATGAAAGGTGTGAAAACCCGTTTTTGAGCTTGCTCAGGTATGCCGATTCCCGTGTCCTCCACGCTCACTGTCAATCTCACACTCTCACTTTTTGCATTATTATTTTCATCTCTTGTGGGGTCGTATAGGAATTCCTCGTCCAAGCTGCTGCAATTGTCAGCCACTTGTTTGCCACTAAGTGTGTTAAACGACCAGGATTGAGATTTTGGTGTGGTTTCGGATTCACCGTTGGAGTAGGTTTCGATTTTTGCATCTTTCGTGGGTTTTCTTTGCTCGGCTAAGTGGACTTGGACGAATATGTGTCCTTCCTCGGTGAACTGTTGATAAATATAAAGCAAAGACAAAAAAGTTGATGAAATATAAAGAAGGTATCACCAGTCGAATGCGAGAATGCAAGAAAAAATATGCTTGTGTCGAAATCAAAGAGTTCCTCTAAGATAGTGTTTTCAATATTTTCCTTATAATGCGTCCCACTCTGTTATGCCACATAAGTTAAAAAATACGACTCCAGCTAAGTGACTTAAAATGAGGATACATTGATCAGTAAGTGATTAATGTTTCGATAAGGAACCAAGCCTTGATTTCTGATCTAGTAGGAAGGTTCTTAAAATTTGCCATGGACTTTATAAAGCCAAATTAGACACTGATATTTACTCCATGCTTAGCTTGAATCAAAAACCTTCTGTCAGGAGCTGACATGAAAATCCATTTTGATTCAAAAATCAAAGGCTTACTTTCACTGAATTTCCAACAAGATTGATGATGACCTGCCTGAATCTTCCTGGATCACCCACGACAATTTCGGGCACTTTATCTGAGACAAAAACAGCCAACTGCAGTTTCCGGTTAATTAAAATTCTATTGCTGACTTTAAATTACAACCTGAAGAATATTGAAATTAAAGATAAAAAGAGAAACAAAAAAAAAAACAGTATCTGCAGACTCACCTCAATGCCCTTCTGCCTAGATTTTTCGGAAAACAAGGAAAGAACATCATCAAGAATGGATCTAAGGTCAAACGGGACAGCCTCGAGCTCTAGCTTTCCAGCTTCAATCTTTGCACGGTCAAGCACCTCATTTATCAAGGTTATAAGTGCTTCACCACAGCCCTGAGCTGTTTGAGCAAAGTCCCTTTGTGTTGAACTAAGTTCTGTATCTAGAAGCAGTTGTAGCATCCCTGCAAGTACAAACAAATTCAATATGTGACAAACATAACTTCAATAAGAATACAAATACAGATACTTGAGAAAATTGAAAAGGAAATATATTTAACGAGAGAGGGAGATTAAAATTTACCTAGGATCCCATTCATTGGAGTTCTTATTTCGTGAGAGACAGTGGCTAAAAACTGCACATCAAATAACATATATCAAAAGACCTCAGGTTTTCAAGAAACTGAGAATCGAATTGTAAAGATATTCCATGAGAAACATAGAATATGAATAGTAACCTGAGATTTGGCCACGTCAGCAGCTTCGGCTTGAACTTTGAGTTCCTGCATCTTATTGAAATCATCTTCGACTTTAACAATGTGGCTTACAGCACTATACGCCATATATCCAATCAGGAAGCCAATCATAAAGACGAGAGCTGCTGTTTGAAGTGCATGCCATGATGTGGGAGCTTCCATGAGATACCTACACAGATCAAAAGCTCAAGGCTCCCATTTTTATTTCTTTATAAATAAAAAAAGTAAAAAAAAAATAAAAATAAAAAATGACCAATAGATTTGAGCACTTACCGGCAAATCATCTCGTGCTTGCGAAAAGGGTCACCAAAGTCGAGCTTGCTCACATGCTTAAGTGACATGTCACCATCTTGAGAGTTGTGTCCATACATGATCAACGGGTCAGATGAGTTGGTAGTGTCATATACATTGACAACTATAGCCTGGTTCCCAGCAAGTTGGCCAAGTAGATTTTCGACAAGGGATTCAACATCAAAGGCTCCACCAAGGTACCTACTCGACATCATTTAACAGTTAAAAGGTTAGAAAGTAAAATGATGTTCTCGTTAATACTTGTCAGAATAACAGTCATGTTAGCAAGACAAGAGAAGTATGCATAACAAATACAGAGGCACTTGTATATAGAAGAAGAAGCATCAGCAGTAATGACGACAATATCTGACGGCACACATTCACAAATATTTCAAAAAAAAAACAAAAAAAAGAACAAAAATGGAAAAAATTGCTCCTTCAAATGTCAAAGTTAAGAGTCTCAATGCATAACAAACAATTTTAATCACCATAGAGCCTCTGACTGCAGTATACACATATATGATAATGTATACCCTGATCATATTTTATCGAAGTTTTCATCAATGGCCAACATCTTGTAGCACTGTAAATTTCCTCTTAATCACACATACTTTTAAAACTACATCAAGGATAAAACTGGCAAGAGGAAGTGCGCAAAGTACTTTAACATCATTATTCAATAGCAAGGAAGTTTTGATTGCAAGTGGCTTCTTGTCATCAACTTAAATAGTCCCATTTTTTGTTGCAAATGCTTAATTACAATAGAGAGAGGGAAACAAAGAGATAACATTTATCAGCCATTTGGCCTCCATGAACAGATAAAATGTCCAAACGACCACAAGATCATATAATCGACACATATCACTTTACAACATGAATTTAAGTATTTGGCAATCCCAAGAATGATCCATTTTTTACATATCAAATAATACTTGGCCGATTTTGACTCTGAGAACGAACAAACAACCTAATATAATCAATATATATACACACACACACACACAGAGTACAGATATCACGCAACAATATGCTCCATAAAGAGTTCCACACAAACTACAATTCAAGACATGAAAGACAATAATAACTAACGCAATTACCCTGCTGTTGCATCAATTCTCTCTTCCACTGTCGGATTTGGTGGCAACTTGAATTTGTAAACCGGAAAAGTCAAAACAACCCCTAAATGAGAGTTAAGCAACCTGAACGGGTTAGTAAGAACCGCTTTACCCGTAGCCCGGGCCCTCAGTATATTCTCACGATCCTCCTGTGTAAGCAATTCATTAATCAGACGATAGAAAATTTGTCCTCAGCATAAAACAAATAGCATAACATAGAGGAAAAAAGAAAAAGAAACATTGATCAGAATAATAGTACCTGTCCTGACATGACATCAAGTGATCCAAGGTAGGACAGAGTTTCTTGGGAGAATATGACGGGAGCATACTCGTCTCTAACAGGCGAAGGCTTTTTCTCCATTGTCCTAATGGTCCAGCCGTGCTGCCTCTCGAATTCCTCCCTCTCGGAGAGAAGAATCCTCTGCGCGTACGCCACACCACTCAACAGTGGTCTCTCAAAAGCAGTTCTAGCTGTGTATTCAGCAAAAGTTTCCTGCATTCCCCACAACATTTAATTTTTTTTCTGTACAATGTGCACAACCCAAATTCCCACAGAACACCAAAATACAAAAACCAAAATAGCGGCATATCTAATGGATTTAAAAATTACAGTCTTGTAAAATTACACAAATGTTAACTTGAAAAGGTAATCTTTAATGAGTAATAGGACATCAAAAATCAGGGATTCCGCAAAATTAGACAAAACCAAGAAGCAAGAATATAAAAATGAAAAAAGAAAGAGAATCAAATACACCAATTTTGATGGGAATGGAATAATTACAAACCTGATCGATTGCTGAGGGGTTCTTGTCAAAATGGAATGTAGAGACAAGAATTGCAAGCGCGTGAACATGATTAACGCTGACACTAAATTGATCCTGCAACATTCTAGCCCTCTGCTCACACATGCTCACAAGCACTTCTTTTCTCTTCTCTTTCTGCTCTTCATCCATATATTCATACACGCACGAGCTCGCAAACAGCATGGCCATAATCCAAAACCCCAGTATTCTGGGGTCCGAAGCTTTGTGCACAAAAGAATATTTTTTCTTTATGCCCAATTGTTCATTCACCCTGAGGGCCAACATATGGTACCCTTGCCTTTTCTCACCCATCTCACAGCGACAACAAATCTTTTATTCTAATTTCACATCCACTAAAAAAATTCTCAACTTTCTGAGCCCCTCCAAAAGAAAAAGGAGAAGAAGAAGAATAAAAAGAAGAAGAAGAAGAATCTTCTAATGAAACCCCTAAAAAATTATACACAGTACATTCGTGAGGTTGCTGTGTGCTACAACTTTGCAAAAATCACTTTTCCCCTGCAACTACATAGTAAAAGTAAAGGGTTCTCTTCTTCGAGTCAGAGCAGTCTATCATTGCAAACACTATGCCGTATGACTCAAAGTGGAGACACAAAGAAAGAACTCCAACACTATGGAAAAAATAATACCAAAACGAAAAAGGAAAAAAACAAAAACTTCCTCGAATTCATAGTAGGGAAACATCAATAATTTTTTTATTTCTGTCATAATTCCTTGAGGGAAGGAAACAAAGCATGCCCTGTAGCAGTCCTCAAAAGACGAAACCTTGACTAAACTTCAAAGAAATAATAGAAACCTCTCTCCCTCCCTCTAACTCTAAGCTAGAGTCTGATGATGTAGCTTTCTCATTGAAAAAAAAAATCAAAAAATGAATAAGACAGAAATATGAGTGATACAAGAAAGTACTAGCATTTACCAAATACCCCTAATTATGCATAGTTTTCTCCTCAAAGCGTGAAGTTTTTAGTCTACGAGCAGCAGACTGAAAAAGCACGTTCTCTGCCTCCCCCTCTTAAAATATTACTTCACATTCTCACACAAACTCAAAACAAACCCAAGATTTCATTTTTGACCCACACATGTATATACAAAAATTTATTTTTTGTTTTTAAGAAGTGTACAATATTAAATCAAAAGAAAAAGAAAAACATAAACCCAGTTCGGGTACAATGAATTTATAATCGTCGCCGTGCTGTTTTTCTACTGGGTCACGTTCTTGGCTTTTCTTTAATGATATTATTATTATTATATGCAAAAGTTAGATAAGTAAGGTGATGGGATATATGTGTATATAGGTTATTACTACTTTTTAAAGCAAACTGTTCGAATTTGAGGATTTCCTCAGATACGCTCTTGTCCCCTTCTTTACTAACCAATATAAAATAGCTAGCAAGGCATCACTTTTTTTATCTCTCTCTCTCTCTCTCTATCAATATATCTGTTTTAATGTTGGGTCTCTTTCCATCTCATTTCTCCATAGATGGTAGTTATGGAATAAATGAATGCATAGATTAAGTTTCTAAAAGAGACGTATTTAAATTTCTTTGAAATTGGTATTAATCAAGATCGTATTTGGGGCTACTGCTATAGCAAACATCTAATAAGTTGATAATTAAATCGACTAAACAAATTTAAAATTTTAAACATTTTATTAAGTCGGCTATAGAATTAAATCTACTAAACTAATTCTTATAGCATGATTGATATGAAGGAATAAAATGAGAATGGAATGATCATTCTCTTACTCATTCCTTATCTCATGATTGATATATTTTTTGGGAAGGAATAACCATTCCAATGGGAATGGCAAAACCATCTCCATGGGATTAGTCATTTCATAGTAAACGAAAGGTTTTCTCATTCTCATGTGTGTAGTAATCAATTTTTTAAAAAATAAAATTAACAAATAATAATAAAAATATATTAAAAAAATTATTTTAAAAAAATTCAAATAAAAAAATTGAACACTTACTTTTATTTATTTTTTAATTAGATATATTAAATACATATAAAATTAAAACTAAAAAAAAGCATTTATATATAATTTAAAAATATATTATTTGATTTTTATATATTATTAAAAATATATTATTTTTTAAATATTAAAAATATATAATTGAAAAATATTGAAAATATATATTATTAAAAATATATTACTTTATTTTTAAATATTATTTTAAAAAATAAAATTCAAATAAAAAATTGAAAACTTAGTTTTATTTACTGTTTAATTAAAAAATAAAATATATATTATTAAAAATATATTACTTTTTATTTCTAAATATTATTAAAAATATATTATTTTTTATATATTAAAAATATATTACTTTTAAGAATATATTATTTTTTATATATAATTTAAAAATATATTATTTTATTTTTATATATTATTAAAAATATATTATTTTTTATATTATTAAACAATATATTATTCTATTTTTATATATTATTCAAAATATATTATTAAAAATACATTATTTAATTTTTATATATTATTAAAAAACATTTATATATAATTTATTAAAAGTATATTATTTTTTTAAAAAAAAGCTTTTATTTATTTTTATAATTAAAAATGATAATTTCATTTCATTCTAGTCATATTCCTCCTGCATACCAAACGCATCAATGACAAAACATGTTTCATTCCATTCTCATAATCATTTCATTCTTTAATTTATTCCATTCCTACAAAATTCCATTCCATCATACCAATCATGCCATTAGGGTTATAAACGAGTTGAGTACAAGCTTGAGCCTAATTCGTTAACTAAATGAGCAGAAGTTCCGCTCATTTATCAAACTATCGATCCCAATTCACAAATAACTCGTTTCGTTTAACAACTATAATAATATTTTATTCAAGTAAAACTATTGAGTAATCAATAGTGCTAGCAATTAGTCAATTCTAGTGGTTAGTTACTTATACTTTAAATATATATATATATATATATATATATATATATTTAGATTAAAATATTATAAAATATCACAAATAAATTTATATTATTTTTGTAGCATGAATATCTATTTTTAAAAATATGTAATGGGTTATATAGAAATATGTATCGAGTGCTTTGGTTATTTTTCTTTTTAACCCAACAAAATGGAAAAGCAAGGTGTGGTTTTATGGCATATGAAATATTTTATTGCATTGTATCATAGGGCAATAATTTTATACCGAGTAAACAATTCAAAGTCGCTTTCGCATATCTTGGTGATAAAGACTTGGCCACTAGGAGCAGATTTAATTCTTCGAAGTACTAAAATGCCCTCCCCTTTTGTCTTCTTTCCGTTCAATTTGTTATGGGCTCATTACCTAGTACGAGTCATTAATTGAGGTCGGTTCGTTAATAATACTAGTATCCGACCTGTGCATTTATACATATATAAATAAATTATTGTGAGTCTGTACATATAATGATTAATTATTTTTTTTTTCACTTTTTTGTAGACTAAATTTACAATTAAAAGAGTTGGAATATTTTTTTTTTAAATTGCGTTTATCTGATTGGATGTAATGTATATTTTGGTACGTCTTTTATTTGTGAATTATTTATTATTTATTTAGAAATTTCAAATATATTTTTTATTTTCAAAAAAAAAAAAATTAAATGTAACAACAATAATAACATCTAATCACATTATACGGTCAACACATTATATTGTCAACTGTCATTAATCAAAAGTTTAAAATGATTTTTGTAATTTTGAAGTGATGAGTATTAATTATTTAATGATTAAATGAAAGATTAAATACATCAAAATGTAACGGTTTTTGGAGGGAAAATTGTTAAATTGCCACATAGGTAAAATTAAATAGGTTTTATTAAATGTTTTGAGCTAGTAATTATATATATATAGATATATATTTTATTTTCAAAAAAAAAATTAAATGTAACAACAATAATAACATCTAATCACATTATACGGTCAACACATTATATGGTCAACTGTCATTAATCAAAAGTTTAAAATAATTTTTGTAATTTTAAAGTGATGAGTATTAATTATTTAATGATTAAATGAAAGATTAAATACATCAAAATGTAACGGTTTTTGGAGGGAAAATTGTTAAATTGCCACATAGGTAAAATTAAATAGGTTTTATTAAATGTTTTGAGCTAGTAATTATATATATATAGATATATTTTTTATTTTCAAAAAAAAAATTAAATGTAACAACAATAATAACATCTAATCACATTATACGGTCAACACATTATATGGTCAATTGTCATTAACCAAAAATTTAAAATGATTTTTGTAATTTTGAAGTGATGAGTATTAATTATTTAATGATTAAATGAAAGATGAAGTACATCAAAATGTAACGGTTTTTGGAGGAAAAATTTGTAAATGGCACATAAGTAAAATTAAATAGGTTTTATTAAATTCTATTAGTTAGTAATTATATATATAGATTAAGGAGTCCAGTCTTAACAAGTTAATTTGAGTTATAATGACTCGAGTTATAAAAAAAAAAAAAATTTGAGCCTTTATGACTCTTGAGTTGAGTCGAGCTGACTTGTTAATTAAACGAGCTTTCAATGACTCAAGTCAAGCTCACGAACAACTCGTCACGTTGAATAGTCATACTTGCTATCTCTATGTCGTAACTAATATTATCTACATACTATAATTTAGGTCATTTTCAGCTCCACTCTACCAAATATTGAGTTTCATTGCTAGTCTTTTGCTTAATATTTATTCTACGCTAAATATATTAAGTTTTATTTATTTTTATTTCAAATTAATTTTAATACACACACACGCATATATATATATGTAATATTATATAAATTCATGTTGCTCAAACAATAAAAATATGTTTATGTGGAGCAACATGAAACTAATTTATAAATTCAAACAATAAAAATACAAATTACATAATGCCATTGAAAAATGATTAAAAAAAAAAAATCACGGTAGCAATACATCTAATTTTTTTAAATTTACATGGAATCTAATTTTTTGGGTAAACTTTTAATCACTATACTAAAAATTGACCTAGATGTTAGGCGTCGTCCGACCGCCTCTAATTTGCATGAATTGGCTGAAAAATCGGTCAGACGCCTAGGCGGGCTCGGCGGCCAGGCTGTTGGGCGAATCATAGGTGCTCCTAGACAGGCTCGACGACAATTTTTTAATTTTTTTAAATACTTATTAAGTTATTATGTTATCATGTTCTTTATACTATATTAATATTATTATCTGGACTTAGGTGTGCAGGTTTATTATAAGTTAAGATAAATTTATTTTGTAAATAGTAAAAATAAATAAAAATTAAGGTATTTAATCTTAATTTATAGGCTCGCCTAGGCGCTGACATTTGGTCGAGTGCCTAGCGGGGGTCTAGTGACTTCTAGAACACTATTTTTAATACATGTGGTGGTATTTAGTAAAATATACTTTCAACAAAATATTATTAAAATAGACATATGATAAAATTAAAAAATTATTAATATAATAAATACATTTATAATATACATTATCAAAAACCATTAAAAATTATTACATACAAAAAATAATAAAACGATATAAGAAAATCTAGCGCACAAATAATGTTGTGCAGATGTTATGACATCTACATCTATATCTATATAAATATAATAATAACAACAACAACAACATAGCCTTTAGTCCCAAGCAAGTCGGGGTAGGATAGAGATGAAACCCAAGAGAAACACAAAAAGACTCGCACCGAAAGGAAGAGATCGAAAAAGAAAAAGAAAAAAAAAACGAGAGAGAGAGAGAGAGAGAGAGAGAAAGAACCAACGCAACATACGCATCTCTGCTACACTTAGTTGTTGGACATGTTGCCTTTTTGTAGGCCAACATTCAGCACCGTATAGCATCGCCGGGCGAATCGCCGTCCTATAGAACTTACCTTTTAGCCTTTGTGGCACCCTCTTATCACAGAGAACGCCCGACGCCTGACGCCATTTCAACCAACCGGCTGCAATTCTATGCCTAACATCAACATCAATGCCGCCATCCTTTTGTAGCATTGATCCCAAATACCGGAAAGTCTCCTTCTTGGCCACCACTTGCCTGTCAAGGGTAACGTCACCATCATCATGTGAAGTCATGCTGAAAGCGCACGTCATGTACTCGGTCTTTGTCCTACTAAGTCTGAAGCCTTTTGACTCTAACGCGTCCTTCCACAGCTCCAACTTCCTATTTACCCCTGCTCTACTCTCGTCA